ATAAAAATAATAGGCCAATGCATATATGACGTTTATGTATTTGTCAGACATTAGATCTATATATACTTTATATACTTTATACACTAAATGGTTTAATTGCCTCAATAAGTAATTATAATTAAATGAATATGTTTGCAATATTTACAAATAAATAATTTTCTCTTACTCTCATATGTGTGAAATAAACATTTCAGTAGCCTAATAACTTAATAACAGAATTGTTTTTAGATCGTTAAAGTTAGCCAGAAACAGACACAATGCTATGTCACCATACTCTTCTTATGCAAAGCCTACTGCAGCAGTGTGTTTGTGTCCAGATCTGTGCAGCTGACTGGTTGGGGGACTGGTTGGGGGAGGGTGGAAGGGAATGAAGGTACGTGGTTGTATCCACCATATAATGTTCATTTATCTGCTCCTACATTTGTGGCTGCTCTCCCAGTGGTCCTAATGCCTACACTGGCACATTGGGAGGTTAACATTCAATGCCATCCTTTGTTGAATCGCCCCACCAGTGTTGCCTCTGTATACATTTGTCACACATCTCAACAGCAAAAACTGAAGTGATGTAGACCTTGAAGGAATGGGGAACCGGATTAGAATGGGACAGTACATTTATGTGTGAAAGGGTATATTCTGAAAATGAGAGAACAGACGTTTGACCTCAGAGCACCTTTTATGCTGAAGGAGACATTGTTTTGTGATACTTAATTTTTTATGCATTAGCCTATATGTCTAGATTTGCCAGAGCACGTGTGGATTAAGTTAATCTCTAATGTTGCTTTATTTTAGAAGTTTGTGACTGAAGACATCCTCTTTCAGTGCAAGTCCCACTGATTTGATCCTTTTACAGAAAAGCAAACTGATTACCACACATACTGCTCAGTAATTCTATGGGGGATTATATTTCAGTTAAGCGGTGATGGTTTGTGATCGAAGCGATGATGCCTGTGCATGAGTGCGCGCGTGCGCACAACAGAAACACATGTTAGCTATGCGTGTACAAGCACACCGCCGTTTGTAAGCATCGAGGGCTGGTATAGTGTTGTGACGCGAATAGCCCCTGAACCGCTGGCCCCCACCCACGGCGTGTTCTAATAGGATTACCAATCACTCCTATATTTGCATCCTTTAGTCCTATTCAGGGTCACTGGCCTCTTCCGCTGTCCTTTGATCAATGATGCACGTTCGCCTCTGGTCAACGAGGGCACAAACCGAGACAACCAAGCGAGGCTGTGAAATTTGTGCCGGCGATGCAGCAAGCTTTTCTTGTCCTCAACCCCAGTGCCATGGCCTTCGCCTTTTCTCTTGCCATTTCGCAACACATTCTCTCCCTCTTCAATTTTCATTGAAAACTGACTGACGTTCTCTCACCTTTATCTAAAGTTCTACGTTTCTAGTGTTTCGTTTGCAGCTACCCTGCTAAATAATCTCCATAGTTTCGTCTTTTATTGCTTTCATTTGCATATATATTAAATATGTGTTGAATGGTGGCTGTGGGGCAGAGTGTACTGCACGCGCCGATCTCAGCTGCCTTTTGTTTTAGCAAAGCACCTGCTGAACGA